GCTGAGAAGTGGTAAGTTTCTGTTAGAAGATCATACCCATAGGCTCATTGCCCCAAAGAGTTTATGGTCTAAATAAAGTAGTGGAAGAATGAGAGTAAAAACATGTTTCCCAAATGGCTTTAGAGTGTATAGGAAGTTCAGACAGATCTGAGAACTAAGCTATACATCTTCAGAATTAGTTTCTAGTGGCTTTCCTCAGTCTGCTTATGTAATTAATAGCATGGGAAATATTAAAGCTGTTCTCAGTCTAGTTTACTTAGTGATACTATGTTGGTTATTCCTCTCCTACAGTATGTGCACAGTCATTTAAAATTTAATGCAGTTTGTATTTTTTCATGAGCAGAAGCTTTAAGGGAACTTCTAAAACTTGTTCTCCCTCCCAAGAGTCTATGAAATTTAAGTAAAAAATAAAAATGAATTATTGATTTTGGTTTTTTTTAATTGTTTGTTTCACAGGTGGTGTATATATAAGCACATATTTAAATCTTAAATCTGGCTTAGATCAACATCTCTCCTTTGAAACTCAAAAGTGCAAAAAGACATACTAAATTTAGACTGACAGTTCAAAAGACATAAAACATGTCTGTCAAAAGCAAAATCCTGATAGCACTAGCTAAAGTAAACTGACAGTTGCATAGTGAAAACAGCTCTTAATTGGTTCCTACTCTCTGCATATGTGTTATAGTATTAAGCTATTTCCATTCACTGGAAAAAGAATCTCTACCTTGTTCTGTGTTTTACATTGTTGTTACTTGCAGAATGGGCTGCAATGCTTTTTCAGGATTGTGTTGGCAAGTAAATTTATAGTGGCCCACAGAAAAAGATGTTGATTTTCCACATCCAGATGTTTCTTGAAGGTCTACTCAGAAATACCAAGCCTCCTGCTGTTTAATTTGAAGTTGAAAAGCTGATGGCAGTAGGTAGCCTGTTTTCTTGTCTCTTGTTGTAGTCCTGAATTTACTGCTGTGATAATTTCTTCACCTCTCTTTAGGAATCCAGTGCCTGATTTCTCTGAAACTTAAGGTATCTGTTGTCTTCTGACACTTCAGTTTTGTAAAAACCTTTTCATGGTAGTGGCTTTTGCAAAGACTTGACATACAGGGAGCAGTGAATCTATTGCTTTTTGCAGTTTGGAAATACTTATCTCTAGGTAAAATTGAAGTGTTTGGCTTAAGTGAAGGAAGGTGAGTGTTTACGAAGGCAGTTGGTAAACCCTTAGAGCATACAAATGTGCTCCTTTTTGGACGTATTGCTAACTATAAAGTCTAGTCAACACTGCTTTACAGTTTCTGGATGCAGCAGTCCTGGGGATCAGAGGTGAAGATCCTGCAGTGTTGAGAAATGGTTCTTTGAACATGTTAAGATACCTTAAGGAAACCTGATGAACACCCACATTCTCTGGTCATGCTTAGTTTACTTAAAAAAACAAACAATTAGAAACCTGATGAACACCCACATTCTCTGGTCACGCTTAGTTTACTTAAAAAAACAATTCCCCTCCTCCCCAACCCTTCTCTTGTAGCACATGTACAATATAATACAGAGAGTACATACAGCCAGAAGGCTCAAATCGTTCAGTGCCATTCTGAAAAGGAGATTATAACCTGGGCCTTGAATCACTTAGGAACTCTGCAAGCAGCAGAGCCTTTAAGCTAGAGGATTTAGCTGAAGAAATCTACCACACGGAAAGCATTTAGAAAGCTTCTTTGTAAAGCTGCCTACACATGCTGCTCACCTCTAAGGACAGAAGGTTTCACTGTGGTATTTCAACAGAGACAGCCATACCTGTTGATAGTAAGCTTATGGAGCAAAATGGGTGGAAAACCAGTATGTTTTAATGAAGCTAAGGCCAAATCAAAATAATTAGCATAAGAGGCTAACACTGTTACTGTGGTTTGCAGCTTCCCTGTACAGATGCTTCTGCTGCTTGATGCTGCAGGAGGTGTTGAAGGTACTTTAGTACTGAATGGAAACCTGGAAATAAGTTAATTAAACAAATTGAAGGCTTAGTAGAAATCCTTAAAAACAGACTTGAGATAAGTTGCCCACTTGGAATTATTGAAGCATGTTTAGGTGGTGAAATGTATGTGGAAGAGTAGAGCAGAAATAGATACTTGAAATCTGTGAAGAGTGAAATGCTGGTGTGTGTAGGAACTTCAGGGTTAAGGCAATTCAGTGTTCTGAAAAACACAAATGAAAACAAGCATGCCAGGGTCAGCAAAATGAACATTATCTGGGCTTGCTATGATGTAGAATAGACTCAAGGCTGAGAATGATATATTGTGCTCCTTTGTGAACTAGTTTTAGGGACATTTTTAAACTCCCTTGAACTGACTTTCTGTGGCTGCTCACATTTGACCATGTGCTGTGTTGTGTGGTTGCGTTGCAGTGTTTACAGGAAGTGGTGATGCCTGTGCAAGAGCTTTCAATTCCAAAAGTGGTGTCCTGCAGAAGATCTTCCGAGGACATAAGTTTATCATCAACTGCATTCAGGTCAGGAAGGGGTTTCTTTGCTGGGATTTCTCACTTCTGATTGCTCCCTTATTTGTTTTGTGGGAATTGGTGTGGCTAGCTGTTCTGTGTTTCTTGGGTTGGATGTTGTTTTAGGGTAAGATGAAAAGTAACAGGCTTGAATATTCTTTTTAATAAACTCTATAATAAATAAGTGAAACCACAGCACAAGTCCCCAGGGACAGTTCTCTGTCTGTGATTGGAGGTCTTTCAGGTCAGGTTAGACAAGCAACCATAAGAAATGAGACAGATCTAACAGATCCTGTGTAGGGGCAGGGAATGGACTCTGGCCTCATGAGGCACCTTCCATTACAAGATGCTGCTGATTTTTTTTTTTGTGTTTGTGTTTGCAATGCTCTAGGGGTAAAGAAGCTTTTGCCTTACCCAAGCACAATAAAATACAGCATTATCCTCCTAACCCCCAGGCATGGCATCCCTCACCAGTCTAGCAACTGCTTGCCAGCCTTTCTGATCTTTGTGAAGAGCTAGTGGTGACCTCCATGTGCTACCCTGGGCATAAATGTTTATAGAGATATTGCCATCAGGATCTATTTTTGTGAAGGTATAACGATGACAAGCTCTGTAGCAATGGCTGACCCACATCCTACCAGACTAATGGAAAAGTCTCTGCCACTGGCTTAAAATTTTTCTCAAAGCTAATTAAGTGCCTGAAGAATTGCTTGCATATTGTCTAAGCTTGAGTGATACTGGCATTTAAAAGGGGAGGAACTAGTAATCCTTGGTGGTAATGCAAAGAGCATTATCATGCAAGGAATCATGGAGGGGGAAGTTTGAATCCTTGGATCCAGGAGCTCAGAAAAAACTTCATGCAGGATGAGGATTTTGGTTAAGAGTGTGAAACCCTGGAAATATTTCTGGCAGGCTGACAGTTGAAAGGAAAAGAGAGGAGAAAGAATTCCTTTTGGAGTTGATCCCAAGCATACAGAGCTGTAAATATGGTTGTCTTCTCTATTTTTTTTCTGAATTAGCAAATGGCTACTTGGCGTTAGGCTGAAAAATCTTGGGTATTAACCACTGGTTACCTGGGTGTATTTGGGTGATAACTGAGACAGTTACTCTGTGGAGCTCCTAAGTATTGACAAGGCCAAGCTTGGCTTTGGATTTTATTTGTAATTTTTATTTGTATTTTATTTTGGATTTTATTTGTAATTTCATTTCCAAGTGTCCAAATCCTGGGAAGGGAGAGGACTGCAAAGTGATGACCTTAATATGATCTTAAATGTATTAAGAAGGGATGGATCAGGGCTGAGGGGGCTTTGGTTGTGTGGTGCTGCACACTGATGTGAGCCAGACTGCTGGTGGGATCCTCACTATCACAGCCCACCTCTGGAGACTGTGAGTGCCTGTGGGAAGGGGAAGATGATCCAGTCAGAGGGCTGGCTACAGGGTGGGGCAAGAACAGTTGGAAACATCACCAAGACCAGCAGATGTTTCATTAAGGAAATTAAACAAGGGACAGTCAAGGTTAAATGACTGCAGGTTTGGAAGAAGGACAGCATTTGAAGGAGGAATTGTACCTATAGCTTGCTGCAAAGGAAGAAGGGAAGTGAGAAGCAAAGCATTCCTGACAACACCCCCACACGCACCCCGTGCCATCCCCACATGATGCCCACGGGTGCTGATTCTGGTGCCTCCTTAAGCTTCATCTTCAAAACCAGCACAGAAATTCCCAGCCTACTCTGACATTGAGCTTAGTTCCCCATTGCTTTTCTAGTGGGTTTAGGTTATAAATAACTCTCGCTGTTTATATTTTATGGCTCTGTGAAGTGGCTGAGAAATGAATCCTGACTTGGTGATGTCTCATCCCACTTCAGCAAGTTTTGTGGTAATTTATACTGGCTCTTGCAATGAGCTACCAAGCCTGAAGTGTTAGGGTCAAGCTGTGTTTGCTCTGATTTTTGACAGTTTGATTATGCCGATTCTAAGCTGGAGGGTTTCATATTAAATGTGACCCTGTTGTTCCAGATCCACAACGAGCTGCTTTACACAGCTTCCCATGATGGCACACTAAGGATTTGGGACATCCGGGGAATATGCAAGAGAAATAAGCGGCGTTTGAAGAAGGAAAGGTCTGTGCAGGGCAGGAGCTCTCAGAAGGGAAGTCTGTCTCGTCTCTTCAACAATAAAGTTGGCTGTATGGTACAGCAAGAAAATGGGGAACATGAGGCTGTTGAACTAATGTGACTGTCCAGGACAGACTTTCCATCAGTGACCAAAGCTGAATCTTTTGTTTTCTACACCACTGTGCCCATGTAAAGCAGAACTTGGAAAGAGATGGGAAATGGCTTTGCTTGAACCCTGTTTTCAGGAGCCAGGATTCTTTGTGACTGTCAGATGGACTCAAGTCAGATATTGTTGCTGCAGAGCACTCCCAGCTGAGGAGTACCAGGGTCAGGAGGGACTGCAGGGTGGTTCAGGTGATGCACCTCTGTGTAATTAAGAACTGTACTTACAACTGCTTGTTTTCAGTTTCTGCTGGCACAGAGGCGTTGCACATTTCTGCCTGCCTAGTATCTAATGAGAAACATTCTCACCTGTTCCTTTTGCCTGTTTACATCTCCTCTCTTTGATCCCATGTAGAACTGAAAGGTGTCCTGCAGTATGACTACACATTTAGTTTTCACAGCTGACCTTTGGGTCAGTTTTTTGCTGATCAGACCAACCAATGAAGAATGGTGTGGCTCAGCAGAAAGTCTACAGCAGACTGGACACCCTTCTGGGAAGCTGGGAGTAGTAGGACAAATTACTTTAACAAAAAACTGAAACAACCCATAAGCTGGAGAACAATCCAAACCTCAGATTTTCTGTACCAAGGTCAGCTGTTTGCCAAGGCAAGTTGTCTTCCTCCCAACAACCTAGTGGGTTCTTCTTTTAACCTTTTATGATCTTGCACTTCAGAAAAGGAAGCACCAATGGCCTCACACGTGTCTCCTGTGTGTGTGCCCAGCTGCCAAGGTTCTGCAGATGGGAAGCTCCTGGTGGGTTCCTCTGAAGGGCCTCCTCTTGGCATGGCAGGAGTTGGAAGGTGTTCCCTAGGCACCATGTCTGTGGTGGTGGCTCTACCCTCTCTCTGGGCAGCCTGGCCCAGTGCTTGGGGGAAAGGTTTTCCTTATATCCACTGGGAATGTCAAATTGTGTTTTTTTCAGGGGAGAGGAGTGCAAAACAGGAAGATTTATTGGGTGCTCTAGATTTGGTGTCTTTTCTCCTAACGAGGCTCTGCCTGTTCTTGTTTTGATAGGTTGTTACAGCATTGAATAGACAGTCAAACTCAAGAGAAGTTCTCCCAGTCTTTTTCCAGGTTCATTCCTCTCTGATAACCACTGAGCCATGAATAAATAAGGGTTCTTATATTTTTCTATTTGCAGATATAACTCTTTGTAGAACTAGTACAGAATTATCTAACCACATGTTTTTATTTTTATGGCTTTATTTATTCTGTACTACAGCAAGATAAAAATGCTGTAATCCTTTTATAGAATGGACTAATAAACATGTGGCATCTACAGCCAACTGTCTAGTTTTTATTTTCTTCCCATTTAGAAGGAATTTGGCAGGCTGCAGATACACAGCAGTTAAGAATGGATGGAATATGGAAAAAAACCACAACCAACATACATTTCTGGAAACATTTTGTGACTCTCCCTCACTGCTGGGGCTGGCAGTCAGATGTGCTGTGGAACTTTCCTGCCTCCTTCCAGGCCCTAGCCTGGCACAGCTCAGTTTCCCAAGTCAGACCAGCCAGAAACCAAAGCCTGATGATGCTGGCTCAGCGTGTGCTGTGGTGGCACCAAGGACCCCTACCCTGAAGCTGCAGCAGTGTCACTGGGTGGTGTCTGTCATTGCTGTTGTGTATCCTGCCTGCCCCTCCAGCTGAGCAGCTTTGTTAGCTTATACCTGGCAGGTTTCTGCATCTAGTAGGAAACAGCATTTTAATTATGTTAAATGCCTACCACCAGAGACTAATTTGGAAGGTCATCTGCATAGTGTAGACTTAATGCCACTGTAAGCCTCTTGGTCCTTTTGTTGTAGCTCAGTACTGGCCCTGTGGGAAATGTTTATGAGACAGTGGCTGGTGGTTGCTGGGGTGATGCCTTGCTATGCTGCTAATTTTGTGTTTTGTATATGAGGTCACTGCTAAGTAGGAGGCCTTTAGCAGAGAAGGATGGAGTTGCACAGATGGTCTGTGCTATACCTTTTGTTTAAAACTTTGCACACAGTATGTTAGACATGGGAGCTTATCTGGCCCATGCAGCAGCTGCACACTGAATTAGAAAATGGATGTAATACACACAGATCTCAAAGAATGGAATTAATGAGTCATTACCACTTCTGCCCCTTCCTAAACATGCCACAATGTCTCCAAATACATAGTCAGAATTAACTTAAAACTTTTAGACAATGACTTCTGCCCTGCTGATTACTTAAAACTGCAGGCAGAGCTAGTTGGGGGGGAGGCAGTGCTGACAGAATGACATCACTGAGGAATGGCTTCCCTGACAAGCATTGCATGTTATGATGCTAATTTTAAATTCCCCAGGGACAAACGTTCACTTCTTACGTTGTCACTGCCAGTTTGCTATGGAAGCCACTTCAAAGAGGAGAAATAGTGCCTGTGCAGCCCAACACCGCCTTGGGGCCAGCATAAGGCAATGCCAGAATGCCAGTAGCTTTAGGAATCCCTCTGGCTGAAGGAAGGAATAAAGTTGTGCTTTCCTACCTACTTCTTGTTAAAACTGCATGCAACCGTCTGTATGTTTTTCTCATTTTCAATTATTTGGTAGGTGCTGGTTTTGCACTTCCTTTTGTCCAGTGGTTCCTCAGTGCTGCCCTATAGAGAAACAGCATCTAATGGTTACTGGGGCTGTTTTTTTTCCTCAGAAGCTCGTATTTGTGGCTTTAGAAATGCTTCAACCTTCTGGGAGGAGATACAGCACTACCCAATTTTATAGCCTTGATGCAGAAGTATGAAATACATTAAGTCCTTAATAGCATAATCACTCCCTGCTTTTGCTGTCCTTGGCTAAGGTAGCCAGGGGGGCAAAAAATCCACAACTGCAGCCTAATAAAGTCCATCCACTGGAACTGAGCAGTTGTTTTGCAGGCCAAAGCTCTGCTTCCTCCAGTATCATGCTCACCCTAGCAAGAGTTCAAGCCCTCATTTCCCCACTGAAAAGTGCCAGGTAAGAATAAATTGTCACCAGCCAGAATGTTCATTTTCCAGCAGCTACTGTCGGGCCCCGGTGTTCCACCAGCTCCAGCCCCGTGCTAGAGCAGACACGCCGTGAGCTCCCTCTGCCGTGAGACTGGAGCTATGGAAAGCAAATAAACCGTTCTTAAGCCAACAAGCAGGGGGGCTTCCATTCCCAGCGGAAAGACAAACTTACCAGAAAACGGGATGTTGTAAAACACACATAAACCCCTCAAATATTTCTCCGGAGTGCTGAAGCTGGGTACAGCTACTGAGATAGCTGTTGAACAAAACTTGGTTCAGGCACCGACTAAAGAAAATTGTGTAGTTTCCATGAAATCCATCAGTCTCTTAGGGTACACACCTTGAAGAGGATAAGAGGTGCTGCCTGGAGAAACTGGTTATTTAGTTATAAAATTAAATACCACTACACAGGTCACTGGGTTCTGACAGGACACAGCCCTGCCAGGTAATTCCTACTGTTTTTTAAAACCAAAAAGCATAGAAGACTCCTAACTAGCAGCAGAAGCAGCACACAGTTACCTTTATTGCCTGTGTAACACCTGCGTGAAGTGACAAGCAAAATACTGTATAAATCCATGCACAACAGATACATAAATGTCTCCTAGAAATCTTTCAGAAGAAAAGTTTGTAAGTTGATACCCTCTATAACCTCATGAGCTAGGTTTCTGATTTACAAACTCACTTTTTTTTTTAAGGCTGTTATTTTAAAATGGTATAGAAATGCTTCTTTACTTGAATACTAAGTGAATTAACTTAGTTCACAATAAAAATATAGTTTAGTTCTGTTAAATTTTCTTCTGAAAATAAATGTTTCTATTTTTCTGCTATGACAATAAATTACAACATATCACAAATGTAGGCTTTATGCAGATTTATAAATAAGCAGGATTTAAGTGAGCAACCTATAGTTTAACTGAATTCAAGGCATTTAGTAAGAGATAAGCTGAAGGTGCATTTATAATCCAAACTCAATTTGTCAAGGTAAATACATATAACTGATGTAGATGTAATGAGATTTAATGCTGTGGTACTTGTATATAGGATAAGTATTCATGAATGATCTGTTCCTCTTCCTCCAGTGTTAAATCCAGATAATCCTCTTCGTGTTCAGGAATATCCTCTAGGATTTCCTTGACTGCATCAGTCTCCATGTCTTCATCTGTTGGTAAGCTGGAAGAACCTTCCAACAAAGAAACACAGCAGTGAATCCAAAGAAGTTGGTACTTTTCCTCTTTCACTACCATGACTGCTCTGCCAGTCTGGTACTGTGAAACTACCTCAGTTAAAATAGGCCTGCAAATGATATTTCAGGATGGCTTTTTTTCCCTATTATTTAAAGCTGTAGGAAAGCCCTTACTTGTACAACAAGGATCACCACAGCTCTGACAAAGAACAGAAGAGACAGTATGTGCACATTTCCCCTTTGCTAAATGCTGAGTATCAGCTCTGCCACATAAGGGGTGGAAGGAAGGAGTATGTGGTCAGATTAGCTGACTGTACAGCACAGACTTGGAAGAAACTTCCTAGCAGTCAGAACCCAGGTATTAGCAAGTCAAAAAATTATCATTATCAGGGGTAGGTCCAGGGAACATGCTCCAGCAACTTAGTACTTGCCCTGAGAAGGAGTACGGGCAGGGAGAGGTTGGTTTGCTTTTAAAGAGAACTGGTGTGTGCAAGTACAATTAGAAGGAAGAAGCTGGAATTGCTTGTGGGCTAGAGAGGGTCCTGTGTTCCCCACTGGGGAAATGAAGACTGAGACACACATCTGTGGCTGTCACTGACTGCTGGGGCTACAGCTTACCTGGAGTAATGGACACCTTGCCTGTAACTACATTACTAATAACAACAGTGTGGGGCATTACTCAAGACCCTCTACCACCCTTGAATCCCTCTGTGCAAGAGCCAGAAGAGCCTTTCCCCTTCCCTCTCCTCTGCCTGCTGTGTGCCACACGTACCTGCAGATTCTGTAGG